CTTGCTTTGTTGTTTTATTTGACTTTGCCTCGTTTTTGCACTTATTACTGTATCTGCATGTTTATCTAGCTAAGATAGGCCGGATAAATAATTCAGACATGAAAAGAACAGAACCTATGTTTCCGGGGGAATACGGAAGAAGGGGAGGTGGGAGAAAGGAAGTAGGGGGAGGGGAACCAACCCAGGGACAAGGGAACAAGTGAACTAAAATCAATGGAGAGAAGGGTGTAGGATGTCAGTGGGGCTTAATCAAGGACAATGTAGCAGTGAGGAATTACTAAACCTGTATGCTGATATTTATTGCTATTATGGTACTGTTTCTAAAGCCTGTTTCTTATCTCTTTATAGGGTGTGCATGATGCTTGCAAACGAATGGGGGAAAGGAAATTTATTGAGCAAATTTTGGAAGATGAACGTCTTTTTCAGAAGTTCAAAGTAACTGATGAAATAGATATTGTCACAATGAAAGATTATATGAAAGTAAGGAATCTATTTGTTGAAAACAAACAAAAAACTTTCCTAACCTTATCCCCGCCGGCCCCCCACCCCCCAAAAAAGAAAGAAGCATACCTTTAAAAAAACTGGTAGAATATAACATAAAAATGTACCACTTTAAAAATTTAAAGTGGTCAATTCACAATAAGTACATTCACAATCTTGTGTAACTTTTACCACCGTCTAGTTCCAGAACTTTTTCATCACCCCAAAGAGGAGCCCTTGCACTAATTAAGCAACCCTTCTCCAATCTCCCTTCACCCAGACCTGTCAACCACTAATCTTTCTGTTTCGATGGATTTGCCAGTCTGGACATTTCACATAAATGGAATCATACGATATGTGGACTTTTGAGTCAGGTTTCCTTTTTGGTTTTTCAGGGCTCATCCATGTTGTAAGATTTCCTTTATGTTTGATGTGGCATATTGGGTTGTTTCCACCTTTTGGCTATTGTGAATAATGCTGCTATATAACTGTTTTTGTTTGACCAACATTTTAATTATTTTGGATATAGTACTAGAAGTGAAATTGCTGGGTCATATGGTAACTTTATGTTTTAGCATTTTAAGGAGTTGCCAAGTTGTTTTCCACAGCAACTGTATCATTTTACATTCCAGCCCGTAATGTAGAAGGATTCCAATATCTCCACCTCCTCACCAGCGCTTGTTATTAGCTGTCTTTTTTACGATAGCCATCTTAGCGGACGTGACGTCGTAGCTCATCGTGATTTTGATTTGCATTCTGTTCCTAACTAATGGTGCTGAGTATCTTCCCATGTGTTTGTTCCATATCTTCTGTGGAGAACTGCTGAAGTCTTTTTGTCCATTTTTTAAACGGGTTGTGTATATTTTTATTGAATTGTAAGAGTTCTGTGTATATTCTGGATACGAGGTCCTTAATTGGATTTTTTTGCCTTTTTGTTGTGGTGATGGTGGTGAAATCTTCTATAGATTTTAGAGATTAGATCTTTGTTGGATATATCATAGCCAAAACTGTAGATTTTCTTTTTACTATTTTTTTCCTTCTTTTTACTCTTTTGGCCTTTGGATGAGCCTAAATATTTAATTTTTAGGAGATCCTATTTGTCTAGTTCATCATCTGCTATTTGCACATTTTAATTATGTGTGGTATTCTCTTTATGGCACATATTAGGGCCCCAGCATTGTCCCTATTTTTTCTTCCATTATAGCTTTAGACTTGGGGATGGTATAGCTGGAGGGATTACTCTTGTCGTTGGGTGCCCTTTAGTCAGTTCTGACTCATAGTGACCCTATGTACACTGGAACAAAACACCACCCAGTCCTGGGCCATCTTCATAGCTGTTCCTATGTTTAAGCCCATTGTTGCAGCCACTGTGCCTGTCCATCTTGCCAAGAGTCATCCTCTCTTCTTCATTGCCTCTGTATTTTACCAAGGAAGGACAGGGCCAAATCAGAGAGCTTAAACCTGACACCTGAAGACTATTCCTAGCAAACACAGATGTAACTCTTGACTCCGTTTCTTTTCTGAACAATCCTATTATTACTTTCATTTTACAAGTTACGAAATAAACCAAGGGTCCCCAGATTCTAGCCCATGCAATAATTTATTTTCATGACAATTCACTCAGTTGCTTCACTGTGAATCATAAAATTAATGTAGTGTCTCAGAGATTCCCAATTGCCTTTTGTTTCTTTTAGAGCAGGGGTGGAGAACCTTTTTTTCTTCCAAGGGCCATTTGGATATTTATACCATCATTCATGGGTTATACAAAATTGTCAACTTTAGAATTAACCTGCTATATTTGGTCAAACATTTAATTAACTCACCCCTAATGTGATGGCTGGAACTTCCTCTCTTTGGTGAAGTGTGTGGTACTAGCTGGTGTTGATGATTTGCACAGGTCTTATATGTCCCAAGAAGGAGCCCTGACGGTATAATGATTACGTATTGGGCTGCAAACCATAAGGTCAGTGGTTCAAAACCACTAGCTGCTCCCCAGGAAAAAGACAGGATTTTCTACTTCCGTAGAGTTACAGTCTCAGAAACTCATGGGGCAGTTTTGCCATGTCCTATAAGGTTGCTATGAGTTGGCATCAATTCGATGGCAATTAGGTTGATTTGGTTTTATGTGGTCCAAGAGCTGGAACATTTAACCAGGAAATCCATAGAGCTTGGTTGCATGGACAAGTTACTTGCAAGCTGTGGAAAAGGTCAAACAGCTCCCAAGTAGACCTATTTTAAGAGAGATCTGCTAGCTGACATTCTGTGGGCAAGGCACTGTTTTTAGCTCTCTCTACATATTACCACCTTTCATCTTCCAAGCTGGAAATAAGGTGACCCTTTTTACAGATGAGACCAATGAGATTGAATAAGGTTTAAAAACACTGGCCCACTGGAGATCCCCTTGCAGAGGGGTCTCGGGGAGGAGATGAGCCAGACAGGGTGCGATGTAACAATGATGAGAAATACAACTTTCCTCTAGTTCCTAAATGTTTCCTCCCTGCTCCCACTACCGTGACTCGAATTCGATCTTGCAAGTCTGGCTAGACCAGAGGAAGTACACTGGTACAGATAGGAACTGAAAATACAGGGAATCCAGGGCGGATGAGCCCTACAGGACCAGTGGTGTGAGTGGCGAAACAGGGAGGGTAAAGGGAGAATGGGTAGGAAAGAGGGAACCGATTACAAGGAACTGTGTGTGACCTCCTCCCTGGGGGACAGACAACCGAAAAGTGGATGAAGGGAGACGTCGGACAGGGCAAGATATGACAAAATACCCATTTATAAACTATCAAGGGCTCATGCGGGAGGGGGGAGGGGGAGGGAGGGGAAAAATGAGGACCTAATGTCAGGGGTTTAAATGGAGAGAAAATGTTTTGAGAAACGATGTACAAATGCGCTTTACACAATTGATGTGTGTATGGATTGGGAAAACAGTTGTATGAGCCCCTAATAAAATGTTAAAAAAAAAGAAAAGAAGGATTAGGTAGCAGACACCAAAATAAATAAATAAATAAATAAATGAAATAAAAGTGAAGAAAAAAATAAATAAATAAAAAATAAAAACACTGGCCCAAGATAACAGCTAATCAAGGGTAGAGAAAATGGCTGGCATTTCTGAGATGTTTACCCACCATTTGGCTCTACTCTCAGGAAATAACGTACACAGGCAGCCCTCACTGTGCATGGTAGGGCCAACCTCTCACTGTGACCTGTATACACTAAAACCATGCAAAGAGGCCCCAGTATGCACACCAGGGGGAGCTGTAATTGTTTCATGACCTTTGAAAAGTCTTTTCTAGTAACAGTCTTGTTCAAAACTCTCTTAGCCCTGGCGGCGTAATGATAACATTGGGCTACAAAGTGCAAGCTCAGCAGTTCAAAACCACCAGCTGCTCTGCTGGAGAAACAGGGCTTTCTACTCCCGTAACGAGTTACCGTTGTAGAAATCCATGGGCAGTTCTACTCTGTCCTACACAGTTCTCTGTCTGCTCTGTTCTACACAGTCCCTCACTGTGAACCAGTATCAACAGGATGGCAGTGAGTTTGGTTACTGTCTGTTAGAAGTGTGTAGGAAAATGAAAAAAAAAAACACATACATTTTGTACTCTGCAATTTAAAACATTGAGAATGAAAGTGTTTTCTTTGGGGGAAAAAGTCCACGTTGAATTATACATTTAAATCGGTGAATTGTATGACTATGATATGTAGATCTCAATAAAGCTGTCAAGAAACTGATCAAAAGTAGTTTTATATTATACCACAATTTAAAAATCTGCTTAAAAAAACAACAAAAAATTTAAGGGGAGAAATGTACTTTGAACATTGCTTGTTGCCTTCTTGTCATGTAACTGACAATATGAAAACCATCCTCTCTTTGATGCCTTAGTGACACTACTTTTGAAGTTGGGGTCAGCGTCCACTTTATCCTTTATACTTCAAGTGTTGTGAAAAGTCCTTTGAAGTCCCTTAGTGTGAATTTCCTGTTGATTTCTCTCCCTCTGGGACAGCCTCATCTTGTTCCTCACAACCACTTTCCTCAGTTGTGTTGATACATTGACCTTCACCGCCTGGCAGTGCTCTTAAATGACAACCTATTTCTTCTAGAACGCCGTTTAAGTTCCATGTCAATTGCACTTTAGCATTACCACTTTTCATTTATTTGCTGCTCAGTTCCCCCCTTGGTTATCCATGTTGGTAAAATTCTATGTGGGTTTAACCCTGGAAGACAAGGAGGCAACACAGCTACACACTCTGAGGACTGAGCTGGCCAGTCACCAGTCACTGACAGACTTTGAAAGAAGGGAAATGATTTGTCACTCATCTAGAGGTGTCTCTGTTATTTACATAGTCATCGGTGACTGGTGTGCTGGGGACAAAGTTTGTGCTCCATGTAACTAGTCACAGTTAACATACCCTGGTAACTAATTGGACCATGTTGATGCAGAACTAGTATTATTTGACTTTTGTTGTATGCTATGGATTCAGAATCATGGTGACCCAGTAGGGGAGAGTGGAACTGCCCCATAGGGTTTCCGAGGCTGTAAATATTTATGGAAGGAGCCCTGGGTGGCAGAGTGGGCTACAAATTGGGCTGCTAACCGCAAGATCAGCAGTTCAAATCTACCAGCCACTCCTCCAGAGAATGAAGAGACTTTCTGCTCCTATAAAGATTTACAGCCTTGAAAACCCAAAGGAGCAGTGTCCTGTAGGGTCACTATGAGTTGGAATCGACTCGAAGGCAGTAGGTTTGGTTTCATTTGAACATTTTTACAGGCGTAGATCGCCAGGTCTTTTCTCCACAAAGCTGCCAAGTGGGTTGGAGCTGCCAACTTTTCCGTTAGCAGCCAGGCACTTAACTATTGCACCACTAAGGCACCTTCACTTAGTTGACTAAATGATAGTAACTGAAATTTGTGCGTGCCAAAATAGTACAATGCAATGACTGCCTCTGTGTGTATGCATTACACCTTAAATGCATAGCGCTTAATTACTAGTTTGTAGGATCTCCTGCTCTGTTCCTATCTCTTCAGTGACCATGTACAACGTTGCATTGGTTACAGAGATTTGTATTTTTAAAATTCCTAACTTGATACCCTTTTACATTGGGTAAAAGAAGTGAGATGTCTACCGATATTGCAAATAAAAGTACTGACATGCGCCACTTAACACCAGAGATGAACGCATGGTTTCTTCAAAAAGCAAAAAGGAAAACTCTTGTGCAAATAAATGCCCTATCCACCCAAGCATGTCACAGACAAATACTGCCAGGTACACTGAATACATAAATATAATCATTAATATTCAGACTCATGCTGAGCTTAAAGTATCTCACTTATATTTCCCATAAAAAATGTGTGTGCATGAAATGAATAGTGAGGGTGGAATGATGTCCTCGATACTGTGGGACATTCAAAGGCAGGGAGGAAGGGAGCCACAGCATGCACAGATGCCAAAAGCATTGTCTGGTCGGCAGTAAGTCATAGAAGAGAAAGGGGAAACGGGTCTGCTCTGTAAACCTTCACTCAATTCTCAATAAAAAGTTGAAAGTAAATTCAGTTCAGAGATGGGGCCACAGAATGCTTTGGGGTTTCAGTGACATTGGAGTAGAACCTTGGAAAAGGTGCCCAGGAAACATTTCAGAGCACCCACAGACCAACCTTCTTAATTTTTTGTTTTCATACAGTATAGCAGTCTAATGGATGAGACTCCTGCATATGCTGGGGGCCGAAATAACTACTGGAGAAGATTAAACCTGGACAACTTTCCCAGGACAACGATGATGTACGACATCATTGCTTACGCGGAGTCTGGGACCGTCTCAGCCCGCCTACAAAAAGAATGGAAGTATTTATCACAGCGACCCAAAACAAAAGAGATGCTTCAGCAGCAGCTGCAGATGGTATCTAAAGTTAGGTAAAAGTGATCCTTCATCAAGGTTGCGTGGCTTGGGGTAGTTTTTCAGTTCACCTTCTGCCAAATAGCTCACCAGAGCTAACAAGGCAGATGGGGAAAATTGGCTGCTCAAAACATATGTAATTCAGTCAATAGAGCACTAGCAGAAGCAACAGTGGATACCTGGGGAGGTGATTTAGACCACCAGGCAGACAGCATAGGAAGGCTGAAGGCTGCCACAAGATTGGGAAAATACGCAGAGATACTAACAACTCTTTCACTTGTGCTGGTTGTGGGTGCTGAGACCATGCAGGCAGGAGTGGAACCCGAGGTCAGTGTGGTTGCCTTGTAAGGTGAACAGGAGAGGCAATGCTAGTACCCAGAGCCACAGGTCACTCAAAGCTGGGGGAATGCCATTAGGTTGAGATGAGGAAGAGTGGAGTTTATGCTCCGAGTGTAGTTGCTAGTTTTCAGTTTCATAAAAACAACCCAAAGGACTCCATTGCCTATAGAGCAGAGGGCTGGCTTTTTCCTTTTCTGCCCATTGTTACAATTCTGCCCTTGCTAGTCTCGCTCCCCTTGCCTAGGATAAATTGCATGTGAATTACACAGACATCATTCCCTTCTTTACCTGTAGCATGTGCGCCAATTCACATGACAGAAACCGAACACAGCAAAACCTCGTATTCTGATCTGAAACAACATGGACCAAGAATGGCCTCTCCAATTTTATTCTTTTTTGTCCCCCTTCACCAAGTCTCGCCTAGTCCTTCTGATTTACAAAGGAAAGCTTTCCCTCTTAAGAAAGATAGAGAAACTAAAGAGATCTCTGGGTAATCTAATTTCATGCACTCACATCAAATAAAATATGCTCCTTTATTTTGTCCAAGAAGAGGACACCAGTGGTCCCAGTGTCAAACACACACACTGCGTTTTCCCCCACGGATAGAGATGAGTACTGCTGACCCAATACCATCATTTAGCTCATTTATTTTATGATCAGGGTTATACATTTACCAGACAGATGGTCTGGTTAGGGTACAATCTGACATCATGAAATAGCCTCTCTCTAACTTGTCCATGTAAAAACCAAATCTGTAACTTGACCCTCTGCCCACCAAGGTCAAATGAGTGATGTCATGCCCTCTGCCACCATCTCTAACCCCAGGCTCACTACTATTTGGATTCATGCTACTGATTATCCAAGAATGAGTCACTCAAGAGCCAACTGAGTAGCCAGATTCGAAATCAATTAACAAGGAAAAAAATACTTTCATAAAGGCTTCTTTGAATCCAGTCTTAGTTTGGAGATGTCCCCAAAGCCAACCCGAGGACAAGGATTTGAGTGTTTATTTGGGAGGTAATCCCGGGAAACACTGATGAGAGTGGGGGGTGGAGAAGTAAAACCGGGAAGGGAAAGCGGCCAGAACAGGGTGTGTTGTCACATTTCCCACTGTGAGTAACTGGAGCTTAATCCTTCCCAGGAATGCCAGCACCAGTGTGGAACATGCAACTCAAGAGTTATCCCACAAGGGAGTAAGGGAGTTGGAGTATTTTTACACCAACACCCAGCCATCATTGGTTAAAAAGCTGCTTAGGCAGACAGACAGACATTCTCAGGCACTTTGAGCCTTCTCTGCACAGGGGCTCTTGTTTTCAAAGAAAGCTGGCAGGCTGAGTGGTGCAGATGCTGGCAGCTGGAAGGTGGGCCTATGGGCATTACACTGGTAAGGCCAAGAGGACGTGGGCATAGTGCCAACTGTGTCTGATCCCAACAGTGATTTTAAAAACCAACAATATCAGCTTAGTTTTTGTGTTTTCAGCTAATATGAAATTTAAACACTTAGCCTATGGTGTAAAAAGCAGAAAGATTCAAATAGCTACTCTACAATATTTTTTCCAGGAAAGCAGACTTTAAATTGACAGCAGGTTTGATCATAGTCATCATCATCATCATCATCATCATCATCATCACTGTTGTCAACATTCTCCTTTCCTGAGAAGAAGATAAAGAACTATACTAAGTAGTTCAAGCAGAAATAGCTTTGGCCTCAAAGCTGTTTGGTTTTTTTAAAAATCGTTTTATTAGGGGCTCATATGACTCTTATCACAATCCATACATACATCAATTGTGTAAAGCACATTTGTACATTCATTGCCCTTATCATTCTCAAAACACCTGCTCTCCACCTAAGCCCCTGGCATCAGGTCCTCATTTTCCCCCTCCCTCCCCCCTCCTCCCTCCCTCATGAGCCCTTGATAATTTATAAATTGTTTATTTTGTCATATCCTGCCCTGCCCGACGTCTCCCCTCACCCACTTTTCTGTTGTCCGTCCCCCAGGGAGGAGGTCACATATAGATCCTTGTAGTCGGTTCCCTCTTTCCAACCCATTCTTCCTCCACCCTCCCAGTATTGCCACTCACACCACTGTTCCTGAAGGGATCATCCGCCCTGGATTCCCTGTGTTTCCAGTTCCTATCTGTACCAGTGTACATCCTCTGGTCTAGCCAGACTTGCAAGGTAGAATTCATATCATGATAGTAGGGGGAGGGAGGAAGCGTTTAGGAACTAGAAGAAAGCTGTATTTTTCATCGTTGCTACATCACACCCTGTCTGGCTCGTCTCCTCCCCGAGAACCCTCTCCAAGGGGATCTCCAGTGGCCTACAAATGGGCTTTGGGTCTCCTCCACTCCACACTCCCCCCCCTCATTCACTATGGTAAGATTTTTGTTCGTGATCGCACAGGCTGTTGTGCTTCTTCCATGTTGCATTTGTACTTCTGAGCTAGTTGGCCGCTTGTTTATCTTCAAGCCTTTAAGACCCCAGACGCTATATCTTTTGATAGCCGGGCACCATCAGCTTGCTTCACCACATTTGCTTACGCACACATTAGTCTTCAGCGATCATTTCAGGAAGGTGGGAACACATGATATGATTTTTTTGTTCTTTGATGCCTGATATTTGATCCCTTCGATACCTTGTGGTCACGCAGTCTGGGTGCTTCTTCCATGTATGGCCTCAAAGCTTTAAGTGCATTATCAGTCCAAGTACTGAGGCCTGTTACACAAGGGGGCTTCAAAAAGTTCATGGACAATATTGTTACCTTTCACTTCATTTTCCATGAAATTTTAGAAGCCCATTCATACATTTATGCAAGCATGCTTGAATAAAATATGGAATTTGCCTTGCCTTTAATTTTTCTTTTATGTGATTTTTTTTTCTGCCTCTAATGTAAAAATTTCCTAGGTCCCCTTCACCTTCCTTAATCATCACTCCTTTGTATCGGCCATATAAAAAGCCAACTGAAATGAAACATCTGGGTCGTCGATCTAAAACAGCTCAAATGAAAGTTGAAAAAATGAGAAAAGCTTATACAAAAGAAAAAGATGCTCCTCCAGTGACCGTAAGTTTTACTTGTACTGAATTTATTGGTTTAGAAAATATTCAAACTGCCAATCAGTACAACTGCTGAGCAACCTAACTTTCCTAATCTACAAGTTTACAGTGTAGTATATATCTTGGAAGGAGCACTGGTGACGTAGTGGTTATGCTGTGATCTGCAAAGGTAACAGTTCGAAACCACCAGCAGCTCCTCAGGAGAAAGACGAGGCTGTACTCTTATAAACAGTTACATCACATGGAAACAGGAAACAGGAAACTCACATGGGCAGTTCTACCCTGTTCTTTGGGGTCGCTATGACTTGACATCGGCTTGATGGCAGTGAGTTTTTGTTTGGCTTTTATACACCTTGGATGGGTTCAAACTATTTTCACCTTGATCTAATACAAGAAAAAAATTGTAACAGATTAGTTGGCTCTCTTGATAGACACCAGCTATTTTAGCACCACGTCAGCATGAGTTAACAAAAAACAAAACAACATTGTCTCTTTGTGTGGACACTTAATTCTGCACATCTCTGGTGATGCTTTTCTCAAAGGGAAGTGGAAATTAAACACGATACCATGTCAGCAGGAGAAAGATGGGCTGTTCGCTCTGGTGAAGGTTTTGTCTTGGAAACCTTACGGAACAGTTAGTTCTCTGTCCTTTAGGGGCACCAGCAATTGGAATTGATTAGAAGGCAGTGGGTTTGTGTATAGTAAGGGGGGAAGGGGTGTCAAAAAGTATTGCTATATACTCAAAGAAACCTTCATTAAACAAAAATAGCAAAATGTGAAGCTGCTGTTTGTCGACCTAACCTCTACCTAGGTCTGTACACTTCAGAAGGCTACATTTCCATCTCTCTGCCCCTTCCCTGAAGAGCTCTACGCTAGTCTCTACATCAGGGGTGCTCAATACGTCAATCTCAACTGTAGTGTGGGTAGATTGCATGGCATTAAAAAATAGGCATAAGCCTATCATCAATCCCGTCACTTAATTGATATGCAGCACAGCCAATCAGCTACGATCTTAGGTGTCAAATGCATGCACAAACAACTGCGCTAAGTGCAGCAAAACTGACAAGCTAAGTTAAGGCCAATTTTTAGGCGTTGGTTTTTTCTCTTAAACGTGAGAAAGGGTATTCAAATGAGTGGGGGAGCTGGACCAAGTAAGAAGACAAACACGTTTCACTCTCATACAGAATGGGAGATTCTGACACTACAAGCCGACATTCACCTCAAGTCCAGAGCACATGAACAGTTCTGAACTTACTCGCAGAGGGAAAGTACCAAACATGAGAAAATGTGCTACCTCCTTGACTGCATTATTTGGCTCCACTTATTGATGTGAGTCAGCCTTTTCCCACATAAAGATCATTAAGTCCAAGTACCGTTCCACCAGGACTGATGATCATTTGGAAGTGTGCTTGAGGCTGGGGGGGTCACCAGCTACTGTCCGGACTATGCATCCCTGGCTCATTCCATTCCATGCAAGTCATCAGAGTAAACTCAGGTCATGACAAAAAATGTACATAGTTAATTGTGTTGTGCAATATGGACTCATGCAGTTATGAGTATGTACATAACCAAATTGTACATATAAAGAATTCTCAATGCAGTTGTGAATAAATGTAATAAATAAAAATAAATGTTTTGCATTTTTGTAGTTGTTAGATCATTTTGATTTGATCATTTTATAAGTAGCTCGCATGCTGGAAAAGTGTGAGCACCCCTGCTCTACACCAACCGTGTCAAAATGGCAGTTGAGTGTCTCTGAGGGAGGGCCTCAACTTACGCTCCTTGCCAATGTTCTTTGAGTTTGGAGAACAAAACTCTGAAGGGGCAAGATGAGAGCTGTCAGGCGGTTGGGATAGGGTTTCTTGTAGGGTAGCACTGTCCTCTGAGAATGAGCAGGTAAGTGCATTGTCATGATCGGGAAACATTCCCTAACACCATTTTCCTGGCCTTTTCCTTGCCAGTGCAATTCTCCAATTTCTGAAAATGTTTTCCTAAGAAGGTCCCACGATTGTCCTGTGTCCTTGGAGAACAACAGTCTCCATAGCCTAAGCTGCTCTCTGGACCTTGCTGGGAACTGGCCCCGCAGATCCCCTCTGAAGCCACTGCTTCCATCAGACCTTTTTTTTTTTTTGAAGGCACTCGAAGGAGACAAAGACAAGTGTATTACTGTGAGAACGTGTTTGCAGCCACCCACGGATCGCAGAGACATGTTTACGTCTTGTTTGTAGTAAACCTGTGCATGTAGAAACTGGAATGCTGGGATTGCAATACGTTTTGACTAAATCCCTGTATTTTTCTGCAATGTAGAAATAATCACAATGGCGTGTATCCGTGTCTCATATATCTGTATCGCACCACCATTGATGCTGACACATAGTGACCTTGTCATAGCAACTAGCACACGTTTTTCACTCCTGTTTGTAATTCTACTTAGGAGCTGAAACTGGACCCACGACGTATCAAGAAAATGGAGGTGGTTGCCATCACGCCGACTCTTAACCTTGTGAGATACCTGGAAGCCCCATCCAATGAGGAATGTGGAAAAGACAAAGGGGAATTATACACCTGGTCTGAAGATTTATAATCTGCTTACTCCCCATCCTCTTAAGGTGTGGCTCATTGACAGGACCAAACTGCTATTTAACAATCTACTTATCTGTTTACAAAAGACCAGGAAATCAAATCTAAACAAGCCCCCAGTACAATGTCATCATCAAATATGTAACCTGTTTTGAAGACTTTTCTGTATTGACCCTCAGTACAGATCTCTTTTGCCGGCAGTGTTCTCATCTGAATAAATGTTTTCAATGCCATGTCCTTGAACTAGCTGTGTTCCATTTTGTTCTAGAAATGACGAGTAAATCAGTCCCCGGAAATTTGATTCCGTTTTCCTCTTCTTTCATTTAAAAAAATCTGAAGAGGACATGCACAGCATAAATATTAGAATTCACAGAATAAAAGGTGGCTCTTCAGTCGGCCTCCAGTGTCTGTTTTTTCAATCGCATGTTGTTTTTAGAGAACAGCTTGTGAATGACCTTTTTGGAATCATAATAAAAATAATAATGTGCTTGCTGCTACAGTAGGAACAGCTTGTGAATGACCTGTTCGGAATTATAATAAAAATACTAATGAATCTGTTACTGCAGTGAGAATAACAGCGCATGCCTAATCATTATGGAGCTTAGCAAGCACCTGGGGCAGAATGAGGCCCCTGGCTGAATGTCATACTCTGGGTCCTTTTTCAGGTATCAAGACTGTTTGCGATAATAGTCATCAGTGCCACTTTGGACTGATAAATTCTCATTCCTGATACAGCACTAACGATTGGGGGGGGTGTATGTGTGTGTGTGCACACGCGCACGCGCACGCATGTGCTAAGCTGTTGGACTATATCAAACCTTACCAGAGGCTGTGATAATTAAACCAAATGCAAGTATTTATTGAACTTTAAAAATACAATCTTCCATTTGGGTTAACATTTTGTAAACACTATAGCCTGATTGCCGACTTAATTCCATCAAAGAAGCCTATAAAAAATCTCATCTATTGCTAAAATATTCTCTTCAATGATAAAGAATATTTGGGTAGATGTGTACGATTCCCACTAGACTGTGTTTTGCAGAAATGTGTACTCTTTAATATTAATATGTCCTCATTTGACATCCAACAGGACAGATTTTAATCTCATCCTTTTCAGAGCTTGCCCTAGTTGAATATAAAAGCACATATGTCTCTTCCTGAGGCACAAATATTCATCTATTAAACTGGGAAGCAGTCCTTCATTCAATCAAATGCAAATCAAACTCAGTCCACCCAAAGTACGCACAGTAGAAAAGCTAAGTAACATCTCAGGTAGGAGGATGGAGGAACAGGATGAAGGAAGGGAACTTTCTTTACTTTTAAGAGTACCCACATACTTTATTAGTTTTAATCCAACATAGCACCTACCTACAAGGGAGACACAACTGTGCTGTTATTTTCGTTAGTATGTACCAAAGAAATGGCATCATTAGACAGGGGTAATGGATGCTATGGTACACCTAGTATCTGCTGCCACACAACTCTTCTATGGGTTCTTTCGCCCACCCACCCACCCCTGGGGCGTGAAAAGTTTTTTTTGAAAGCAAGTTTACTTTTCTTTTTATAATTTTATTGGAGACTCTTACAGGGCTTACAATAATTCATACATCAATTGGGTTTTCTTGGATCATTTTATTGGGGGCTCGTATAACTCAACACAATCCATACATCCATCCATTGTGTGTCAAGCACATTTGTACATTTGTTGTCCTCATCATTCTCAAAACATTTGCTTTCTACTTGAACCCTTGGTGTCACTCCTCATTTTTCCCCTCTATCCCTGCTACCCCCTTCCTCATGAACCCTTGATAATTTATAAATTATTATTATTTTGTCATGTCTTACACTGTCTGACGCCTCCCTTCACCCACTTTTATGTTGTCCTTCCCCTAGCGAGGAGGTTATATATAGGTTCTTGTAATCGGTTCCCCCTTTCCACCGTCCCCTCCCTCCACCCTCCTGGTATCGCCACTCTCACCACTGATCCTGAAGGGATCATCTGTCCTGGATTCCCTGTGTTTCCAGTTCCTATCTGTACCAGTGTATGTCCTCTGGTCCAGCCAGATTTGTAGGTAGAATTGTGATCATGATAGTGGGGGGGGACTAGAATCCATACATCAATTGTATCAATCACATGTGTGCATATGTTGCTATCTTAATTTCAAAGCATTTCCTTTCTACTTGAGCCCTTGGTATCAGCTACTCATTTTTTCTTCTCCCTCTCCCATCCTCTCACCCTCGTGAACCCTTGATAAATTATAAATTATGTATTGTTATTTTTCATATTTTACACTGTCCGCTGTCTCCCTTCACTCACATATCTGTTGTTCATTCCCCTGGAGGCATGGTGTTTATATGTTGATCATTGTGATCAGATCCTCTCTATAGATTCTTTTAACTGACATTGAATAATGTAACCACATCACTAAAAATCCTTAAATAAATGAAATTACCATATATACTCGAGTATAAGCCGACCCGAATATCAGCTGAGGCACCTAATTTTACGACAAAAAACCACATTAAAAATGTGCTGAACAATGATCTACATATAACCCCTCCCTGGGGGGTGGGCAACAGAAAAGTGGGTGAAGGGAGACGTCGGACAGTGTAAGACATGACAAAATAATAATAATTTATAAATTATCAAGAGTTTGTGAGGGAAGGAGGGGTGGGGAGGGAAGGGGAAAAATGAGGAGCTGATACCAAGGGCTCAAGTAGAAAGAAAATGTTTGAGAATGATGATGGCAACAAATATACAAAGGTGCTTGACACATTGGATAGATGGATGGATTGTGATAAGAGCTATACGAGCCCCCAATAAAATGAATTTTAAGAAGAAAAAATGTGCTGAAAAAGTCAGCTTATACACGAGTATATACAGTATGCATATTCCCATTTTAACAACAGTTTTCATTTTCTCATACCATTCCTATCTGTCTAAACACATGCATGTTTTTCACATGTTGTTGTTAGGTGTTGTCGAGTTAGTTCCAACTCTATATGTACATCATAACAAAACACTGCACCATCCCCACATTAGTGATGTGTGAGCCCATTGTTGTAGTCACAGCGTCAATCCATCTCATGAAGGTCTTCCCCTTTTTCACTGCCCTTCTACTTCAGCAAGCATGAAGTCCTTTTCCAACGACTGGTCTCTCTTGATAAGGAACTTTCATATTCTTTGCCAGCACCATAATTTTTCACATAGTTAGAATCATATTCCATATAGATTGAAATGTTCACTTCATATTGGAGCTTAAGCATAGTCCATTGAAAATTAATTTTTGTGCACAACTTGAATGTGCTCTGTCACAGAATCGCACATGTAGAAACTTGAATCAGTGTCTGTTGTGTATGTTCTCAACAGAACAACAACAAGAAATTAACAGAAATTATATTTTATCAATTCTGTTGTGGTAAAACAAGTATAATCAGATTTGTTATCTTAACCATTTTAAGTATACAATTTAGTGGCATTAATTGCATTCACAGTGCTGTACAACCATCACCACTATCCATTTCCAGAACCTCTTATCACCCCATAGAGAAACTCAGTATCCATTAAGCATGAACTGTCCATTTTCACTGCTCTCCAACCCCTGGGAGCCACTCATTTAATTTTGTCTCTTTGCTTTTATCTATTCTAGATATTTCCTATCTCTTGGGCAATACGATATTTGCTCTTTTGTGTCTGGCATTTTGCTTAGCATAATGTTTTAAAGTTCATCCATGGCAGAATCTTTATTCATGTCATGTGATGGCTGCATAATATTCTATTGTATGTATATACAACATTTTGTCTAGGTTGATGGACATCTGGGGTTTGTTGTTTGTTTTCACCTTCTACCTACTGTAAATGATGCTGCGATGAACAATGGAGTACAAGTAACTTCTTGAATCCCTGCTTTCAAGCCTTCCAGGTATATACCTAGGAGTGGAATTACTAGGTCACAGTATCAAAACCCCACAGGGGCAGTTCTGCCCTGTCTTACAGGGACAGGGTCACTGTGAGTCAGCATCGACACCATGGCAATGAGTTTGGTTTGGGCATGATGATTCTGTTTAACTTTTTGATGAACCAAGATCATCCTTTTGAATGACCACATGATAGCGCATTGGGTTGATAAAGCACAGTTTGTTTGATTGGGTTTATATTATTGGATTTTAGTGTTTCTCATTTTTTTCCGCCACTGTAGATAATTACTATCAGCGTAAACATCTCCATACACAGTCTTCTTTTCTTTGGTTATCTTTCTGTTACTGATTTTTTTCAGTTGATTGCCCTGGAATCAGAGACCAGGATCTACGTGGTGCTGATTCTTTAACACTTGTTGAGAGCTGTGTTATAGTCAAGTACATGCCCATTTTTAATAAATATTTGTTTCATGCATAAGACAAATGTGCATTCCCTATCGTTAACTACCAGGTTCTATACAAGCCCTGTGAATCAAACTTGTTAGTTGTATTGTGTACATTTTCAATATGGAATAAATCCAGAGGTTGTTTGACTTATTACTGAGAAAAGTATGAGTCTCCTAATTCTGCTGGTTTTTGCTTTGTGTTATTTAAAGATGTTACTAAAACCTAAAACCAAACTCACTGCCTTCAAGTCAACTCCAACTTTGAGCAGGTGACCCTATAAGGATAGAGTGGAAGTGCTCCCTCAGGTTTCCCAGGCTGTCAGTCTTTAGGGAAGCTTCTGCCTGCTCTCGCTCCCCTGGAACAGCTGGTAGATTCTAACAGCTGACGCGTCAGCTAGCAGTCCAACATTTAACCCACCGTGCCACCAGAGCTCTTTGAAGATATTATTAGGTACATATATAATTGCATAATTGGTATGTCTTCCAGATGAATTAAATCCTCTTATCTTTATTCCTAATAATGCAGTTTGCTTTGAACTACTTTGTGCACTAGTAACATAACTCATCTAGCTTTTGTCTCATTAGTGTTTGCCTCACATATCTTTTTCTGTTCTTTTTATTTTCAACCTTTTATGTATTAGATGTTCACTCATTCCTTTGCCTCTTCCTGGGAACACAGGATTAGATTTCCAGCTTTTCTTATAGTTACATTGGTTAGGACCACATGTACTGAGTTACGGTTTTCTCTAAAATATAGCAAACACCTGGATTTGTTCTTGTTGTGTTTTGCTCCAGTTTGAGGCTATTTTTCTTTTAACTGATGAGTTTAATCCATTTACATTTCCTTGTCATCTTAATTGTTGATATAC